ATGGAAGTTGACCGTGTGATCCGCACTTGCAAGCCAAGGCATTCCCAGACTGATGTCGAAGTCCGTGTCGAGAATATCGAATGTCACCGGTTCGCATGCATGAGGTGCGAAGTAGACCGGTACGGCCTCGATGTAACGGTCGAGTAGTTGCTGCGTCTTTCCATCCGCCAACTTGATCGCCGTCGGGTTTGCCTTTCTCCGAACTTGTGCGCCAAGGCCAACTCTTTGCATAAAAGACTGGCTCATAAGTTGCGAGTCGCGCCACTATCCAGCAAAGCGCTGCAGGACGCTTGCCCAACCTGGATGCGGATATACATGAGCGGTGCATTGTTGTTATCGTACCACTGCGTGCGAAACTCGCGGGCCACCTTGGTAACATATGCCAGGATGTCCCCCACCGCGACTTCGTCATCCGTCTGCGAAGTTGGTGGGGCATAGAAGGAAAGGTAAGTGTGGAGATGAGCGCTAAGTGCTGCGCATTGCAGTCCCGGCAAACAGCCTGTGGTCGGGAGAGGAAGCCATGCAAAGTCCTCAAACGTGAGCGGGTCCAAAACCTCAATCTTGAACTCGCGCGCCGAATCCCGTGATGAACCACTTGAAGACGATATGTCGTTGTTGCCGGACGAAGAAGAAACCGCACACACTCCTTGTCCTTGAGCTTGAGTACCCAGCGTTGGAACGAGCCGGGCAGCATAGTCCTAAAAAAAAAATAGAAGCGGAGGACTGTCGACTTCCACGTGCGCCTCGGAATGAAGGCTGGTCACTCGCGAAGAAACCAGTTCCGAAGGCATCGAGAGTGTCGTCGCATCACTCTCGGCGGTGCTCAGTTTCCCTGTCGACCCTTGCCCTTCAGTGGGCAAACCGGCGTCAGATGAAGATCGTTGTTGCACCACAGGCAATAATGGAATCTCTCGCGCGCCTTGTAGGCGGACTCGGAGAGGCCATACGGGGTCCATGGGCCTGTCTGAGCTGCTACATCGGGCCCGGGGCTAGAAACGGTGTGTGTCTTCGGCTTGCCGCGCCCTCGGCCTCTGCCGGCGCGGCCTTTTTTCCCGGGCGGCTGCGAATTTGTCTCCTTCACTGGCAGACGCAGCCTCGCTGGTTTGGTCTAATGACGTTGCCGCTGCGACCATGACCACTCGTGGCCGATGCTGGTTCCCGCTCGGGCCTGACGCAGAAGAACGGAGGTTTTTGGCCTCCTTGTTCGTAACGATGATCTGCGCAGCCTTGTCGAATAATTCCGCCGTCGTCTCGACATGCATCAGGGCATTGCTCAATGTCGGACATGACCTTGAGATGAAGTAGTGGCGGATGGCCTTGAAGCCCATCTGGATGTCTGGGACTGACGTCAAGCGTTGGTACTCGGCGATCCAGTCCGCGTACTCGGCAGCGTGCCTTGCTCGAAGACCATGAGCTTGTCCATGGCTTTGATCTCTGGAGGCTCCACCTGGAACCGCTTGTGCCACGCCGCCTTCAGATCATCCCAGTTGATCATGGTGTGCAAGTCCGCTGCTACCACTCCGTACTTGGACAACAAGTTGTCCAACCACGCCTGACACGCGCCCCCTGAGCGAAGAGTACAAGTAAGCGTGGTGCTTGTTTTCCTTGATGTTGTGGAGCTGCAGCGTGAGCTCGAACTTGCGAAACCATGGAATTGGATCTGTCTTGATTGAGTCGTGGAAGATCTCCTGCCCATCGAACTTGGGAGCTGTCTCGCGCGGCTCCGAACTCGAGGTAGTGGCGGTAGTGCAGATCCGCTGCTGCAATTGTTGCGTCGCGGTCTGCTGTAACTGTGCGCCATCCTAGAGGGAGCCGACGTGCATCTCCAATGCGGTGAGGCGGTCGGCAGTATTGGAAGAGCCTGCGTCGGCGGCGGCGACTGGTCGCTGCTCCACCCGCTGAAGGCGATCTTGGAGTTGAGCTACCGAGTTGTCGAGACCAAGGATCTCCGCCTGCTGTGTAATGCAGGTTGCCAGGAGATCCGTGAGATGCGAGAGGAGGAGCGCTATCTTGTTTGCGCTGTCCGCCAACTGGCTATTCTCGGCCTCGCTTCGCCATTCTGCTGCCATGGTAAGTAATGCCCGCTCTCCAGTGAATATCTTCTCACGACGCTGTGTCCATTCTTCGTCGGCAGCCCTTGCTGCTGCCTCGTCGTGCTGGCGCTGTTGTTGCACGGCCAGCGGACGCGCCTGCTCGGCATCCTCTGCCCTTTTCTTGGCTGCTGCGGCAGCGTCATCTGCTCGCTTCTTTGTCTCGGTACTCCAGGCTAACATGCGGGCCTGATAGGCCTCGTCTGTTTCCCCGGCCTTCTGGTCCATGACTGTTGTCTGTGAACGCAAGAGCATAGGCCAGACCGGTGCCTGTTGATGTGGTATCCCTTGCTGCTGACGTGGCAATGCTGACGTGTCCTGCTGACGTGGTCTGCTGACGTACTTACGTAGCCTGCTGACGTGTCCTGCTAACGTGGTCTGTTGACGTGGCCTGCTGACGTGGCAACTTCCCAATGCCGTCATAAGGGTACCCGGAGACAAGCAGCAACGGCAAGGCGAGGGATGGCAACAACGTAGGTGGGGAGGGGTGGGTGGGATAATCGCCTAACTCACACTTAGATAAGGAGCCACTAATCAAACCAGAAAAGCTTAAACTTTGCAAAAAATTTTCGAGAAACCCCGATTTTTTGCAAGTTCGGTAGGTCTCCCAATCTCCCTCGAAGTACGAAATGATCTCTGAAAGCGAAAAAAAAATTCGACTTTAGACTGCAACCGATTGATAGAACCAACTGACAGAATCCAACAACTGCGAAAAAAGTCCGAACCGAAATGACAAATATTCGGATTTATTCCGATGGGAATATTCGCAGTTTGAAAAAAAATAATATGTGCAGGAGGTATTTCCCGTACCGTTTTCAAAAAAACGAATTTCAGAAAAGAAGATATTCCGAAGTTCTAAGTACGGAAAAATGCAACAGAAAATCGAAATTTTCAAAAAGAAATATATTCCGGATTTTTAACAACGAAATTTCGAATTTTCAGAAAGAAAAGCGAAAATAGGAATTTCAGATGTTGCAATATAGCGATTTTCCACAGCGGAATAGCGAGAAAATAAAATCCGAGAAAAGAAAAATTTCGATTTTTTTTTTTTTGGTAGTAAGGTCAAGATCGTGATTTTGGGGTCTAACTAGTATGTCCTAATCAACAGAAAAGACTAACTAGCTTTTTGATCCCCGCACACGTGTCAAAGCAGATAGTCCTGATTCACGTGCACAAGCTCCGATACCAACTGTTACATGCACAGATATGCAATGTACGTAATAAACCGAGCATCTGAAATGTGATGAAAAGGACTGAATAGACAATGCGGTACGAGTAGAATCTCGACAAGCAATGTACATTCTCCTTCATACATAAAGGTGCTGAAGAGCGCAGGGAAGACTTTGATACAAGACTGACCTCATTCACGTAGTTCAGAGTAACGAAGCAGAATGCTAGAGTACCTCTAACTAGCCGAATCAATGTTTGAACTCAGACTAACACGCATTGTATCCATCACGAAGTGTGAAGGAGCCTGGCGCTACACACAGGAAGAAAGCGCCAGGTCCAGACATACACAGACGAAGAGATAAGGAACAGACGAAAGGAGGGAAGAAGATGGGAATGTCGTTA